ATCTGCCTGCCTCTGCCTCCTGAGTGCTAGGATTAAAGGCGTGTGCCACCATGCCCAGCGATTTCTATATTATTTTAATGAAATAGCTTATGTGTTAGATTGCACAAATTTTAAGTGGGTTGATCTTTTTGAGTATACTGGGATCACTGCTCAGAACTTTAAAGCTGTCTTTAAAAACTTATTGAGAGGGGCTGGGAAGATGGCTCAAAGGTTTAGCACTTGCTCTTTCAGAGAACCTGACTTAAGTTCCCAACACCCACTATCAGGTGGTTCACAATTGCCTGTAACTCTAGCTCTAGGGGGTGATGCCTTTGGCCTCTACAGGCACCTACACACACGTGTGCACATTATTGAGAGGCAAAGCACAAGAAGAGAGGTAATTTCAAGTAAGACATTTATTTCACTAACTGAAGGTAGGAAGGTGTTCTCCATGCAAAAATCACACTCTAGCCTCAAAGAAGTGGTTCTTTCTGGAACTGAATTTGAATGACCATAGCCCCGGAATACAGACTTAGGTCACCCCAAATTCTGCGTTCCAATGTGGAAGCAGTTTGAAGTTTTTATAGTAACAGAAAGTCATAAATCAAGGTACTTTCCAAACCTTAAATAGGCAATTACATACCCATCCCACTACCTGGGATTTCCTGAGGCCCCTCTCAAGGCCCTGGGGCAGATCTGGCTTTGGTAGGCTAAGGCTGAGATCCTAGCAGACAGCCTGAGAAGGTGGGTTTCAACCTCCATTAGTATAGCAGCTCTGATCTCAGCAGACCACCGGAGACTGCTGAGTTCTGGCCTCCCTCTGGTAGAGGGCCTGAGAATACAGGGAACTGCCTGTGAGTGCCTGGATCCTGCCTCCACGTGGTGGTCCTTTTAATAAGATGATCCTATATAGCAGTCCCTTCTACATGAAATAACTACCATCATCACGACTTCAGCTGAACCTGATCGCTAAACATCGCTAAACATTGTCACAATTGGGCTTGTTGATGGTTGTGCTCATTCATTAAAGGAGGGCCAAGCATGGTCATTGGACCCTCACCGGAGTATACAGTCACTCTTCCCAGCCAATTGTATGTAATTTGACCCTAATCACACATGGCCTCCTGGATTTGGGGAGGGCTAAAGGATACAATCTGGGGAAGGCTAGGAAGAGAAGGCATGACCCATGCTGGGTAAAGGCTTTCCAGGTCATACAACCCCTCAGTTATCTTGGTAAGCTCAATAAATTCATTGGCTCCCTGGTAAAACTTTAATCAAACATTGGCTCGACACTAGAACCTTGAAAGGGAATAAGCATTACTTAGCATGCCCAGGAAAAGAAGTCTCACAACAGATGGAAATTTTATTTGTTAATGCTATTTTGTCTCATAATTATTTTTTTAAAGCAATTAGTATAGGCCTGTTTAGGTTTGTTATGATATATAATGGATGAGATAAAAGGGAAATACACATAATCTTAAAATGTCTATGGTCATAGTCAACTAGTTTAAGGTACAAAATAAATATCTAGTTGAGGTTTATCTGAGAATATTTGGTTTTTTACCCAAACCTTATTTACATAGCACATGATAATTAAAAGTACCAGACTGATGGAACTAACCTTGTTGGATGCTTAACAGCCATACTTTGAGGCCTATGCTAATGTGGTCAGAGGGACTTAAAGGACAGTTTTTGCCCCTTGCGCTCCAAGGTGGACTAAGTTCCAGGGGACTATGGAACATCTCTTAAAATGTCCTGTAACTGTGGCGAATCACCTGTCCTCTTGTTCAGGGAGGACATGGAGACCCCACAAGATGGACTTGAATCAGTGTCCAATCTACAAAGAGGAGGGTCAACACAGAGGAAACATTTCCTCCATGCTTCCATGTGAAGCTAGCCATGGTT